TGCCATAAAATCGCCTGCCTCTTACATGACGTCAGGAATCTGCGAAATATCGCGGTGTTCGTTACAGCGCATGCACATTAAACAGGGCATTCACGCACTGAACAATACCTAAAACTTTTGGGGGTAGTCGGAGAGCATATTTTTTTAAATAATATTCAAATAAAGTAGCCCTTGAGACTTAATCTACCGGCCCAATGTGTTTGTACAAAATTACCAAAACCGTTCCAGGTTCCTTTTAACAAAAGCCCAGCGTTTTGTCGGCCACTAATATAAGACATAGCAAGACAAACCATTAAAAAGTGCCCAGCTATAATTCATCGTCATCAACAACCACAGCATTTAAAGATTCACTGCTACACAGGAGCGCGATTTGCTTAACAGACACATAGTAGGTATTTTGTGGTCGCAATCGCAATTGGCACCCTGGGAGAGTTTACAATGACCAATATTCTACAATGTGCACAAGTTTTCCATCCTTCACAGTATGGTTCGCGTGTTCATAAAGAAATGAAGAATGGCAAGCAAATGTGAATACAGTATGTACAGTAAATGTGAATACAGTATGTATACAAATGGGTGCTGCCAATGCTATCGCACTGCACTCGAGTATTCTCAATGTTCTTGACAGCAAGGCTATGAATGGCTTGTACTGCTGGCCCTAAAATAGCCATGTTGCAGTGCCAACACGGTGGGATGCGAACTCTGATGTTACGTCAGTGCTATCAGTACATTACGTGCTGGTTCCTTTGTTATTCATGCACAGAGACGCAACAACATTCCAGCGATGTCGTTGTCTCGTCAAAACAGGCTAATCTCTAAATGATTAGACTGCCTCGAAGTTACCTAAGTCGTGATGTTGGAATCATGTCTTACATTCATGATGCAGGCTACCAATATACAACAAAATGTCGATACGTTTCTGAAAAAAAAAATGCGCAGAATAAATGCAGGATCTGAGAATACTTATGATCCGAATTGGTTTAATTTATTTTCATGATTGCGAGCATTGCAGCCTGAAAATCATTGCCCTGTCGCAGTGGTCTAGTGACTATAAGGTACTCGGCTGCTGAGTGACAGGTCGGGGGATCGAATCCGGGCTGGGGCGGCTGCATTTTCGGTGGAGGCGAAAATGCTGCAGGCCCGTGTGCTCAGATTTGCGTGCAGGTTAAAAAATCGCAGGTGGTCAAAATGTCCAGATCCCTCCACTACGACGCCTCTCATAATCATACCGTGGCTCTGGTATGTTAAACCACACATAACAATCAGCTGGGAAATTGTATTAAGCTAGAATGTATCAGTGAGGTTCTACTGTATAGGTCCACACAACTCCGCGATCATACATATTCAACGGAAAACTATGGTAATCTAGATTCAAATTTTGAATTAAGAAACAGTGTGCGTCCAGACTGAGTTCAATTGGCAGCTGACGCACTAGGTAAATTGACTGACGTCAGTGCAACCATGAGAGTAATAAGTATGGTTGTACTGCGACACCGCAAACGCATACCTAATCTACAGAAAGCTCCTAGTGGGTATGCACCGCAGAAATGGGGCAAACACTACCACTCACTACTGGTGCATAAAAATTAGACAGAAAAAAGGTGAATGAAAAAAATAATTTGCAAAGAAATAAATGTATACATAAATACATAACCTGCTTGTTGCATTTCTAGGCCACATAAACTGAGTTGGAACTGCTTTAAAAAGCATACGCTAAAATTTTAAAAGTCCTAATAAATGTATAAATATAAAAAGTAAGCAAACAAAATTCTTTTGCGACACAGCTTGGCTGGTCACCCACCTTCACAGAGTGGAATAGCTCCAGCTTTTTTCAGAAATCTTTGCAACACCTCCCCCGCAAAAACATGCACATATAGACGGATTTATACATTATAGCCCACTTGGAAGATTATGCTGATTTCATTTACCTAAAAAGCCTCAACACTGCCAATCACAGGTGATCAGTGCGCAGGATTGCCCACAATTTTCTTCGGCTACTTTGTACCAATTGCAAAATATCTACTACCGACAAGAATGATGAATTATCCTCGTATTCATGTAATTCATTGATAAAATATTTTAGCTGATTGAGAGACGGCATCCTTCTTTGGAGACAAGGCGTACATTTTTCATTTTCTGTGCACTATTGGGAAGGAACAGACATGCAACACTGAGCTAATGATAATAAGCAGTTTTGTTCTTTAAAGTTTTTTTTTTACCTGACATGTGCTTCAAATATTTGGCTACACACTTGATGATGACAGATGCATGTTTAACAAGACAGACATGGGCATTTCGGTAGATATTGAAAATATTGTTTAACTATTCCTCAAATGCTTGATGCAAGCAGATAACCATCGCATATTATATCAGTTGTCATGGTGTTCAAGTAATGCAGCATGATTGCCTGCAATCTTCACAAAATGATTGATACTGTATTAGCAGCTACTGTCGAACATCTCACAATTCATTGCAATACTAACACTTGCTTTAAACTTGGTCTACAATAACTTATTTCACGCACTCATGGACAATCGATCCTAATGCGTACCTTAAATATTGGGGGGGGGGGGGGGGGGGAGCTACATGCACAAAAATGTCTTGCATGCAAGCTCCTCTTCAGGGCACGTGCACGCAACTACACAAACCGGAAACACAGCTGTACACGCCTAAATATTTCACGGTTTCCATTTCATGAACACACGTCACAACACTGTACAGAATAGCTCAAATGTGACACGGTCCACAGAACTTGAAGTTCTGTGGACCGTGTCACAGTGTGTAGCGTGTCACCGTGTGTTGTGTGTAGCGCTGTGGTGGTCACCGCAGCGCTACATACAACAGCACTCGTACGGCGTTGCGCATTACGAGTGACAACGATGACGGGCAATAAAACTTGCCCATCCTTATCGTAGCAGAAGCTAACACTCGCAAGCGTTCAAAATTTATACATAGTATTCGCTGCGACGAAAGGCACACACAGAACACACCAGATGCTAACACTTGTTGCGATCATTACAAACTTTTCACTTCGGCGCGCACTAAACGCATATCCTGCTTCAGAAAGGCGGCGGATTACATCACGGAAATCTTCGAAGTTCTTTGCGATTACACTTGAAAGATGGACGGTACAACCCAGGAAACACACGAAACGACGACACTCGCATCCGCAAACACACTTTCTACACTGTGCTCGTTTCTTCGTTTCCGCTGTCGATCGCACGTGCTGACGGGGCAGTGAACACTGGCTGGCTACCGATATCTGCCCGGGAGTCTCACAGCGCTTACGATGGGCACAATGATAAAATCAGCTGTTCTTTTTCTTTTTCCACGTCGCTGCAGCGCCCGCTTCAGCAAGCGCCATGTTTGATGAACGAGCCGACGGGGCGGCCGTCCAGGTCGTTTTTCGCAGTAACCAATGGGAGGCGAGCCACGCGAGCCGGCTTGCTAAAGTTGAGAGCCGCTCTGCCGGACGTCACAGAGACGGCCGCTCTCGCCCATTAGTGCGGTGCGGGTGTGGGGAGCGGCTGTGCGGCTAGTGCGGGTAACGGCCCTACCTAAACTTGTTCGGTGGCATATTGCCGCACAGTGGAGGCAAACGACGGCCTGAACGAAGCTCTAGGGAGTCGAACGAGGTGGAAGAGGACCGAGGACCGAAAATCCACCTCCACCACGTATGACGTCTGGGTTGAGAGAGCGTTTATTCAGCCCAAGGGCCCAGCAGCGATCGGGCAGTTTGAGAAAGAGCGCGCACACGCCCGATGATGATTGTGGTCACACCCAGAGAAGATGAGGACAGAGACCCAGACGGATGATGATGATTATGATAATGCGTGTATGAAAAGAAGCGCATATATAACGAATACCCACAATATGTATATATACATACATATATGAGTCGTTCCATGACAAGTGTCCTCCAGGCGTGGCTCAACCATCGCAGATTCTGTTGATAAAATTTACACATTTTTCGTATACCCATGAAGTATTGCATCCAAACATTTTTGCTCGAAAAAATTTTCCAGGACGATGTCCCCCTTGAAAGTTTGCTTGCGTTTGCCAAAGTGCGCACAATAGAAAAATGTATGAAAAATGATATTTCTTTGTGGAACTTCGAAACAGAGCTTGAGCTACTCAAGCGCTTTTGTTTAGTTGTGCCAATAAGTCATTCAGAAATTTTTGCATTTACCTAGCAGTTAGACCTTTCCAAAACCACAAAAATCTTCAAAGTCCACCATTTTTTCCAACGCTAGCTAGAACTCTGTTTAACGAATTTTATTAATATTGTGGTTTTAAGAAAAGCTTACTTCTGTACAAAAAGTTTTCGGAGCGAAACAGACTTCAAATATTTCCGGAAAAAGTTTGAAAATGGCAGAAATATGCGATTTGTCCCATGTTTGACCATACTTTTCGTACCAATGCGTTCCAAGAAAAAATTCTCGCGATGAGGCATCTGGTAGACCGCTTCATGAATAAATAATGAAGAAAGTGACATGAAATCATTTTTTGTTTTAAGAAATAAAAAAGGTTTCGAAATAGGCCTTCAGAATGCTCCCTGCGATCCTTCATTGCCAGTTCACCTGAATGCACCTGGTTGCCGTTTCGGCTGACACTCATAACTGGAAGCGACAAGGTGCGAGATGTGCGTGAGCGGCCTGTGAGTGGTCGAAAGTCTTGTTGCTTTGATGTCAAGGCCACGAGTATTGAGTTCACTTTACGATGTGAGCTTGCTTGGCGTGCCCATTGCGAAGTATGGAAGCTGTACACCACCTTGCAGTATCGTTGGCACATTGTGTTACAGAGCTGTCTGCACTACACAGAGACCGAGGCAAATAAAGCACATTGTAGACACTTTCTCTTACGTAAACCGGGACTACATTTATTAGCGGCTGAATGCTCTCGATTTGGCTCTGTAGCCTTTGCTGCACTGCCAAAGAATAAGAGATGCAAGTTAGAGCAAGTTGGTTGAGAGTAAAGCTTAGAAATGCGCTTTGCCATACCTCTCGCAGCATTCGCCAGCACGGCCGGTGGCTCTTTAGGCTCGACCAGAGCATGACCTTGGGTGCTCGTGTCCTCCGACGGCGCAGACTCGGACTTGGGACCCGCGATGGGGCTGTACTCGGGCGGCGGAGTCGACTTCGCTTCCGAGGTATTCGCCATTCGGGCACCGTCTCGACTGATCGGTATAGGTGCTTGTTCGTCGCCGACGGCACACGTACTGCGTAAGCAAGTCACTGCGCGCGAGGCATGCGTGGGAAGAAAGGCTCTAGCCAGTGCGGGCTCATTTGATCGGATCACGTGTGCTCCACCGGATGCCCATGCCACGCGATGCGTCCCAGACGCCAGCCAGCATCGTGCACGCATGGCGTTGGAACGGTGCCGCTCTGACGGAGGGAGCAGATCCTCAGGTGTCAGTTCTGTCTGCGTCACGAAGAGCTGGTAACGTTCCCACAAGCTGCCATGGAGCCTACTGTAGTACTACTGGCGGGTATGCAGGGTGTCCCACGTAACTTAAGCCAGAGTTTCAAAATATGTTGCAATACGTAATTACGACGCGACCAAATGCATGTTGCTCCCTGTTGCCTGGAGTTAGACTATTTTTTTGTGTTATGAAATATTGTTTAATTATATCTGCTTTATCAACATACTTTTGAAGGAACAAAGATGGATAAAAAATTTCAATGAGAAAGTTGTAAATCGTTTCGCAAAACGACGTCCGATTACATAGTTTTGAACTTTATATCTGTTAGGTACTAGCGTTTTTCTGCTAATTACAAACGCCCGAGCAATACAAAAAATATCACGTGACAAACCCGCTCGTGCGCCAGTGCGCACGATGATTCTAGTGCTCCCTAACGTTCCGCGTACGAACAACCATAGCATTTGCCCTATTGTGCTGTCTCAGCAGGCCCACAATAATAGTGGTGGCCCTACGATGAACTCGTTTTGCTATCGGCCACAAAAACGATGACCGCTGTGGCTGCTTATGAATGTTATGAACCGGTACGAGGGAAGCGTGTCGTTCGTACACGGAACATTAGGAAGCACTAGAATAGTTGTGCACACTGGCGCACGAGCGGTTTTGTCACGCGGTATTTTTTTTGTAATTCGCGGGCATTTGTAATTTGCCGAAAAACACCAATACTTAACGTATATAAAGTTCAAGACTTTATTTGGACGTTTTAAAAACCGATCTACAACATTCTTATTAAAATATTTTATCTATCTTTGTTCCTTCAAAAGTTTGTTAATTAAACATGTGTAATTAAACAATATTTGAGAACACAAAAATAGTCTGACTAACTCCAGGCAACGGGGAGCAACATGCATTTGGTCCCATCGTAATGACGTGTTCCGGCATATTTTTAAACTCTGGCTGAATGCACATGGGACACCCTGTATATACATACTTCTTTCATACATCACTTTCGTGAAAGTGGTGCGGATATTAAACCTCGTGACACGGGCTAGCTGGCACCCAGACATTAAACTGTTTGTGCGAACGTTGAGTGATCTGTGTCTCCCGATGCCAAGAGCCATGTGTCGAGCTAAGTTTGCATTCGCAATAAAGAGAAAAAGAGATGTAAAAACATGTGGAGCATTTCAGTACGATTTCATTGCGACGCATTTTGAAAAGGCGCAGCCGTTGATGCTAGAACCTTTATGCGCTTGCAGCAACCATTTATTATCGTATTGTTTAAGACGTACTATATAGTTGGCTGTGTCATGATGTGATGATTTTTGTTTAATGTCGGCACAGTAATAATAATATCTACAGTTTTACGTCTGAATATCACAATATGATTATGAAGGATGCCGTTGTGAAGGCTCTGTAAATTACGACTATCTTGTGTTGGTTGATTCGCACTGACATTGCACAGTACACGGGCCTCAACTATTTCGTCTAACTTCCGCACAGTTAAATAGAGATAAACGAAAGAATGAAGTACGTAAAGCAAATGCATTAGCTCTGAAATAATTGAAACATGTGCAACCACCACAGCAATTGTCGTGTTCTCATAAAAAAAAAACCATCGGGCACCAGAAGCGTAGCCGGAAACTTTTTCCGGGTGGGGGGGTGGGGACAAGAGATCTGTTTGAAAAGGACATCTTCTCTCCGAGTCCATCCATGGCAGACAAAATTTCAGCAAGATGGCTAGGGGGGGGGGGGGGGGTGTAGGCGCCGGTCCTGTGTGCCACCCGCTGGCAGCGCCACTGTAGACACAGAAAGAAAACGCATGATGCACTGTGAGTCCTTGTGTTTCCATCTGCTTCTGTTGCTTTGTGGCCGCTGTTATGGCAAGCTTAGAAACCAGAGTGGGCAGTCGTGATGCCCCTTTCACATGGGCACACGCTAACTTCGTTTAACGTCCTCGTCGTTATGTCAACATAGATGAGGTCCTTGTGATACGGTCTCCCTTACGGCAAGAAAGATAGACGGAGCGTTTTGCAAATGGAGCTTAGTGTTCTCCGTTAGCTGCGGAACGAGGTTATTATTTGCAGCTCCAGAAAACGCTTCATGTACGGGCAACTGTCATCGAAAAAACAAAGATGACTGCGCCTAACAGGGTCAACGTGGTACTTTCGTTTGGCGCTCTGCTGAAGTTTCTTGACATTTGTGCCCGATTACGACAATTTAATTGATTCGTCAAAGGCAAAAAATGCTGGCCGTGGACCCCCTAATTTACGTCGGCATAAAGGATTGCACTGGCGAAACAGCGGAAACAGCTCTGCTGTGCGCTGAAACATTGAGCCTATTCAATGAAACGTATCAAATTCAATTCAAGCTATGAACCTGTCTAGCGACGCAAAGGTTGAAGAAGGCACCTGCACATGTGTAACGGGCCGCTCCGAAAGGTTCGAGCACTTCTGCGTTGCGTTGCTACAGTGCTGCAGGCAAGGCCTCACCAGGTTTCGAGATAATTGCACTGCGACTCTTACAGCCAATTGCATGTGTCCCATGGAGTTCCGTTCTCCCGTAAAACTGTGAATACGCATGCCGTTCACTTTATTACAGAACGGCGCTATGTCTGGGCCAGTGTATATTCAGATATCACAAATGGCAGTTTTGATTCTAAGGGGAGTGCTCCTTTTTTTTTTGTTCCCCGATCCATGTTATTGGTTATTTAATGAATAAGGTCATGTGCTTTCGAGCACTCGCTCGTTCCTGTTAGCAGTAGTTGTATTCAAAGCAGATACATTCACATAACGCTCCAACATACATGTTCGTGCGTTACATATTCGGGAGAAATTATTACAACAGCTTAAATTTGAGAATGGGTAGCACTACGAGTTTCGCCGCAAACAAGCATATGCTAAAAATACAGTCCCACACGCAACCCATGAAATTTCCCGAAGCGCTTGCTTATATAAACAAAACTATGTGTACTCCGCCCTCAGAGGTGCCAGAATACTGATAATAATGCGCAGGCGCTAAGTATTGGTGTACTCACCGAGAAGAATTAGGTCGTGGCGAGCGAGTTAATTGGAACAAGCTACCATAGTGCCCGTCATCTTTTTACGAATGCATAACTTTCTGATTCGCGCCGTTGTTGGTCGCACGTCGTCAGCATTCTGTGGAAAGTGATAGAAAGATACATTAATTTTCATTTTTCCACCGTGATGCCACGCATTTTGGCACACAGCAATTTTCCTTGGAAATCGCTTTCCGTTGTCTGAATCACGCGTGAGGCATCGTGAAAATAAAGCAAATGTGTGACCGCTTCTCAACGCGCGCAACGTGGTAACATATCTCCTTGCAAGGTTGACCCTGTTTGTCTCGTTTCCAGGCGCAGCCACTAGATGGCAAGCGCTCAGTTGAAAATGCCAATACCGTCGTCCCCAGTGGTCTGTTGGTGAGAAAAAAAATATACCAAAACAAAATTACCGTAGTGATAAGAGTAATACATTTTGGCAATATGCAACGTACTTTCGTTTCGGGGCTCATTCGTATGACGTGCCTACCGGAACCATAGTGATAACGCGAGGAAAGTACTCGAAGTAAATGACGACTGCTGTTGTGTGGCGGAAACACTCTCCGAATACTAGATTTTTTATAGTGTAGGGCCAAGGGGACCAAAGTGGCTGGCTGTCTGCATTGCTACGTTAAGTGTGTGCGTTTTTATTTAAAAGATATTTTCATGCTTGTTCGCTTCATACCTTTATCCTAATAACTTTTCGTTATAAAAACCGCTCAACGAATATTCACACACAAAAAAGAACTAGAGGTGAAATCATAATACTTCTGCTTAAATCGAACAGCACAGACTGAGCCTCTCGCGACAAATGTTACAACCTTGTCATTGCCATGTGACACTGCCTCAATACGTCACCGTCAAACTTCCTAACCAAGTTCATCATCCACAGAGATTAGCATAGTTCGCGGGTGCCCATGTGACAGGGATATAAAAAGCGCTCCTTCACCAGAGCTTCTGTAAGGTAGTTGGGAACATATCACATGACCTCAATTTGTGTTTGTGCCTGCCAGCTATAGCATACCCTAAATATGGAGAGCCACTATAGTTGACCGGACAAGAACACACCAACATAGGCGCAGTATAGCTGTATACCCTGAAACGCTTTTCTCTCGCCGACAATCTTGCACTTACTTAGCGTTTAAGATAGTAACAGACAAGCACTACGTGCGAAACGCAAGTAATAGACACTGCGCTTGTGTATTTCAGAACACTTGCCGTTTTTCTTTACAAGATTCTGCTCGCACTTTCTTTGAAGGTTGGCTCCGTGAACATTTCGGTCTGACGTAACACAGCCAGTGGTGTAACTAGGCCACCCCTACAGGTTCAAAACCTGTGGTGGCATGCCACCACACTCTAGCAACACTCCCTTCCTTCACTTTCTTCTCCCCTCGTGCCGTCCCTGAGGCTAGAGACTCCTTTTATTAGTTAAATATTGCCCCTTTCCTTCACAAAACTATAGCACAATCTTCTGAGAGCATGGAGCTCCTAGGAAACACATATAAGCAAGCAGCCCGTAGCTCCTTGCTCTTATTCAAGCCTATGAAAACTAATAAGATAAATGGGTCGATGTATAAGCCTGTTTCCAGCTAAGCACTATTTTGATCATGAACGTATACGTATCCAGAGTCGTACACAAGCCCTTGCTTTTTTTGTCTTCACTTTATTTGTGGTCTGGCATCTGTT